GCGTGGAAGAGAAGGGGAGAGGCGCGGGGCGCCCGCCACGCTGGAGCCGGCGGCCTGGCGCGTCTAGGCCGCGGCCCTCGGTGCCTGCCGCCAGCCCTCGGGGAGCCTTCCTGGAGCCCACGCTGCCCTGCCATCCTGGAGGGCAGCGGCAGCCCGACCCGGGTGGGATGGAGGCACTCGGAATCAGAGCCGGGATAGCGGCCTTGGGGAGCGAGGGCCGAGCCGGGTCCGAATTCGCGGAGGGCTCGTCCTCCCCTGCCCGCTTTTTTTCCGGGACCGGAAGGCTCCGCCCACCGCTTTGTTTCCTCCGGGGGACTCTCGTTTGGGGCCTCCGAAGTGGCTCTGAGGCTTTCGAGGCACATTTGCCGAGACTGCGGAGTTAGCTGGTTTAAGAATGCGAGTGTGATCGTAGCCTTTAACAAGCTTGTAAAGTAGCCCCGGAGGCAGGCTTTGTGGGGTTTTCTACCCAGGCCTGAAAGGTTTTCTGCTGGGTGCGAGGCCATCGGTTACTGTTGTTAGATCTTACTTTAAAAGCCGCGCGTTGGAAAGGTCTAGGACAGGCGATGTCCGCTAAGTTACCCCTTCTCCGTGTGCCCTTACTGCCGAACAGCATTGTCTGGTGAGATTTTCGGGACTCTGTATGCACGCGAACAATACTTCTTGTTAGTTTCTTATGCATAGGCAGCCTTTTGCCCATTCTAAAGTTTTTACATCGTCTCAGTGATTCCGTCCGAGTTCAGTTTTGAATTTCTGAATTGATAAGATGCAGGGACCCATCATGCCCTCCCCACTCTGGTTTTTGACCCTGTCACTGAACTTTTGTTTGGACTGTGATAAGGTCTTTATTTTTATTATTGTTTTTCCTCAAGGAGAAACCAGAAGTCTTGTTTGGGTGACGTTCTCACCTGCTTTTCTCAAAGAAACTGTTAACCTGAATGTTTCGTTTATAAAAGTTTCACCAAACTTTACTAAATGTTTGGGGGGGGGGGGATTACAAAAAATAACAATTTT